CATTAATACAGCATCTTAAATGTATTGGAACATGGAAACTATGCAGAATCTGACATTTTATCATAGACACATTGTGGTTTAGAATTATCCAAGGATTTCACCCTCCAATTTAATGTACTCTTTGCTGAATCACCCTGAATTATGGTAAGATGATGTTTAGCTGCATTTTTCAGCCCAATACCTGTTTTTCCTGATTGATTCGAACGATACGATAGCTTTTGTTTTTTATTGTAATTAACCAATAAACAATATCATCTACAATCTTATTAAAGCGAAGAATACGACAAATACCGATTCGAAGAACAAGAACTGGTAAAGAACGAAGACCACCTGGTTGACACAACAACGAGTTTCCCGCCTTCCAAGAAATTTCATTTTCTAAGCTATTAAAAGTTTTCGACGACTGAAATAAGATTTTCTTTTTTTAACCAGGACCATGACTGTATCTACCGTGTACACATGTGACCGTATTATGTACACACCTGAGTGATAGTATACATCTTCATTGTACACCTGAGAGAGAGAAAATTATTACACCTGGCTCATCACTACACAGGTAACTCCCACAGGTGTTAATGGACTCGAGTTAACTATTACCTCCCACAAAAGGTCTCGCCGTTTGATGTATGTCTCTCTGGCCACTGAACTCACTTGACTTTCACACTATTGTCTCTCATTCAATGTCCCGTTCTCTCTATATCTGTCTCCCATTCACTGTCTAATTTACCGTCTATTACTCTCTCTCTCTCTCTCTCTCTCTCTCTCTCTCTGGCTCACTCACTCTCACTCCTATATCCATTAAACCTGTTTATTTTCTTTATCAGCCAGTGTTTTTTTCCTCTATCACTATATTCTTCCCTCCCCTCCCCTTCCCTTCCCTCCCCTTCCCTTCCCTTCCCCCCTTCCCTTCCCTTCCCTTCCCTTCCCTTCACTTCCTTCGTTCAATCTCATGCACTCAGCCATTTCCTTCGACAAACTTTATTTAAAAGATTTTAGCGTGGCCACTGTACAGAACCTGGGGGTATCAACAAATTTTTAACACATATTAAAACAAACACAAAAAAACCCGAAGCTACTGTGAAAAACCCGATAAACTAGTAATTAAATTTTCAAGGATTATTTTTTATTAATTATTTACCGATTTAATTCCGACAGGTGGCTGGAAATAAAGATTAATTAACAGCATAATTTACCTTGATATGATACACCTGTCATGTTGTCCCCAGGTGGTAGAAAACAAAGCCCATGTGTTGTTCCTAAATGAGCGCGTGTATGAGCGTTTGTTACTGGTACGGGAGGGGGAAGGGAGGGGGAAGGGAGGGGGAAGGAAGGGAGGGGGTGAGAGAAGGGTGTGGGGGAAGGGTAGGGGACATTTTAGAGGACGAGATAATACATAAAGCTGTTAAATTAACTTGAGTATGGTATAATAATTATGTATACGTATGATGTATTATGTATGGTGAGAAACAATACCACTTTGATGTCTATAGAGCCACAAAAAAACTCAAATTTCTTTTGTTTTTTTGACTTCCCTTCTCTACCCTTTCATCCTTTTCTCAACCCTCCCATATCTTCCCTCCCTACATCTACCCTCCCATATCTTCCCTCCCTACATCTACCCTCCCATACCTTCCCTCCCTACATCTACCCTTTCCCTCCCTCATCTTCCTCTCCACCAGTAGGTCATGGGAAGATGATAGGTTATCGCTGACGAGATTATCATGTAGTGTGTGGCCAGTGTAAGCAAGAGGTCCTCGGCCACCCTACTGCCGAGTGTGTTCAAGTTGTTACACACACACACACACACACACACACACACACACACACACACACACACACACACACACACACACACACACACACAAACATTATCAATCAACAATAAGAGCATCAATTATCTCCCCAATACAAGAAGGTTAGGATTGGATTCCCTTTAAGGAGATCAAATTCCCTCTCTATAAACTCGATCCCTTTATACCACAACAATAATAGACTCAGAAAGACTTCCTCCTCTACCACCAGCCCCACCACTACTACCACAACCTACCACTACTACCACCATCCCTACCCCCATCCATATTGTGGGGAGGGGATATCTCTCTTAGCCTTTCAGGTGTGATAGAGAATGACCTCTTCCAGGTGAGACATGAGACAGTGACCACCAATGTCCCACCACACCACTGAACAGGTGTGACAGAGAGACAATGACCACCACCAGCCCCATCCACTACAGACATCACAACCTGTGGGGTGAGACACAGGTGCCCCTTCCAGTCCCATGTGCTGACAGGTGAGATAATGACCCCTCCTAGACACATGTGTGACAGGTGAGGTGACCCTCCCCCTGACCAGGTGAGACAGGTGAGACCCAGTGGTGTGACAGGTGAGACAGTGACCCCTCCCAGGTGTGGACAGGTGAGACAATGCCCAGACAGGTGAGACAGGTGATGACCTCCCGTGGCCTCCAAGTGTGACAGGTGAGACAGTGACCCTCCCAGGTATGACAGACAATGACCCTCCAGGTGAGGTGTGTGACAGGTGACAGTGACCAGGCCAGGTGAGACAGTGACCCTCCCAGGTGTGACAGGTGAGATAATGACCCCTCCTCAGGTGTGACAGGTGAGATAATGACCCCTCCCCAGGTATGACCAGGTGTGTGACAGGTGAGACCCCTCCCAAAGTGTGACCGTGAGACAGGTGACCCTCCCACAGGTGAGATAATGACCCCTCTCAGGTGGGGTAAATGAGACATCAACATCGCCTGGCGTTTCCTTACACCCTACAATGACCCGCTTATGGAAGATGCACTCAAACGAACATTCGCTTAACTTGTGCTTGCAGTGACCTTGGAGTCGAACGAGAGAGAGAAGAATGTTTATCAAGCACGACCCTACCAAACACGACCCTACGAAACACGACCCTACCAAACACGACCCTATCAAACCCTATGTGACACTCTTGGTAGACCATTAAGCCATTACAGATATATTTATAAAGGCGCACAATGAAAGGTCGATACTATTGTGGGGCTGCCGTCCCGTCCATCACCTCTTCCTCCCACACCCTCCCCTTCCTCCCACACCCTCCCCTTCCTCCCACACCCTCCCCTTCCCCTCACACCCTCCAGTTCCTCCCACACCCTCCCCTTCCCTCACACCTCCCCTTCCTCCCACACCCTCCCATCCTCCCACACCCTCCTTTCCCTCACACCTCCCTTCCCTCACACCCTCCCCTTCCTCCCCACACCCTCCCCTTCCTCCCACACCCTCCCATTCCACCCACACCTCCCCCCTTCCTCCCACACCCTCCCTTCCTCACACCCGCCCCTTCCACCCACACCCCTCCTCTTTCCTCCCACACCCTCCCCCTTTCCTCCCACACCCTCCCCTTCCTTCCACCCACACCTCCCTTCCTCCCACACCCTCCCTTCCCTCACACCTGCCCCCTCCCTTTCCCCTCACACCTCCCCTTCCCTCACACCTCTTCCCTCCCCTTCCCCTCCACACACCCTCCCATCCTCCCACACCCTCCCCTTCCCCTCACAACCTCCCCTTCCTCCCACACCCTCCCCTTCCTCCCATTCTCCCCTCACTTCTCCCCTCCCCAAAGTAGTGACGAGGAGTGAGTATAATTACGATGATAATAATATGTCAGTATAATATTTCACAGGTAATGACATACCTAGATATTAGTAATTACCTCTTGCTGTTGATAAGACCTAGGTAGACGGATGAGATAATTCAGATAATGCAAGATACAAGGCTACTGTCAGATAAACTAATCAACACAGAACACTACCACACAACACTCACAACACTCCAACACAACACTTAGAATACTCCAACACAACACTCAGAACACTACCACACAACACTCAGAACACACCACTCCCACACAACAGTCCCACACCACACAACACTCACAACACTCCCACACAACACTCCCACACAACACCCCCACACAACAACCGTTAATTATTATTTATTATTATTACACACACAGACAGACAGATAGACAGACAGACAGACAGAGACACACACACAGACAGACAAAGAGACAGACCTAACTCAAACAATCTCGACCTATAATCACTCTAAGACAGTGAAGTATTCTAAGTAGACACAAGAACAACTCTGTAACACTAATGACCCGACAATATAATCGAACCACAAGGACACCATAAAATTCACCCGTCAGAGGAGGCATCATAGGGGTCATCATACCTTACCAAACTCACCATTACAAGCAGCAGCCACCCACATCACTCTTCCTCCTCCATTCCCATAATAACTCACTCACTCTAAGCTGTCGTACCCAAAGCTTATTCTGAGAAAGACGTAGATCAAAGCTTATTTTGCAACTACCGAGAAAGACGTAGATATTCTGAAAGCTTTTTTTTTTCACCGAGAGAGAAAATCAATCATCGTTCTGTGCAGTGATTTGACCTTTGACCTCGATTTGTGACCTCTCTTGTAGGGGTCAGAGTATAAGGTGTTTAATGGTCAAACATAAATGACAATAATAACAACAAAAACATAACAAAAACATAAAAAAACAAGATAATAATGACAATAATAATAACCATACCGTATTAATAATAGTAAAATAATAACACTAGGTTATATGTCTTAAAATATTATGTTAAAGGAGATATTAAGAGTGACAATGTTAAAGTGTAACGCTTGTAGTAATTCTATATTACCAGAGAGTGTGTGTGTGTGTAGGTTGGAACTGACCCTCCTAGCAGATCTCACACAAAGGATATCAACTCTGGCTCGCTCAGGTAACGTATCATGAGCTCAAACCTCAACAAGAAACACACTGGAGGACACAAGACGTAGCAACACAGTGTTACAGCCTCGTGTGTTGATGTTATGGTGTGTTACTGAGCATCAACAACCAAGATCATTAAGCGTGTATCTCTAGTTAGTATATACAGTATACTAATTAATTATCAAGAAAGACAACATCCGTCACTCCTGGTAACGGCTGATACTGACCTGTACGTCGACGTCGAGGGACGCCCATCACGCCTCCTGCCTCCCCAGCCTCCTCCAGGAACCCCAGTGCACAGCTCATGGTCAGTAACGTCACTGACGGCACGTTGCCTATACGTACCCCAGTTCTAGGGCACGTGACCACTGTTGTAGGGCACGTTACCCACACGTACTACTGTTTTAGGGCACGTTACCCACACGTACCAGTTCTAGGGCACGTGGCCTGCACGTATCACAGTTCTAGAGCACGTGACCTGCACGTACCACTATCCTAGGGCACGTGACCTGCACGTACCACTGTCCTAGGGCACGTGACCTGCACGTACCACTGTCCTAGGGCACGTTACCCGCACGTATCACTACCCAAAGACACTTTTGTTACAGGATAATTATTACGTCTCAGGGCACCAATATCCCAGGACAAAAATTATTATATCAAGAAGCGTTCATCTCAGGACGTGTTTGTCTCAGTTCACGTCCGTCTCCTCCCAGCTCATGGTAACATCCAGGGAGACGTGTGGCCAAGGACAGCTAAACCCAAAGGCAACTCTGTCTCAGGGGCACATAAGGGCTCCACTGTCAGGACCACCTTCACACACACACACACACACACTGCCCGCTGTGTACGTCGATGTTACAGAGGAAACACAAAACAAATTCGATATGAAATTATTGACCATTGATGCATCTTGTCAATCATTTTCTTTGATTCACTTAACACGATTCTTCTTCTCTACCAATCACATATTTCTTTACACTTCCTTATTTATCTTTGTCTTCTCGTTTACCATATAGTGTTTATTCTATCAGTCACAGAAAAAACCCCACCAATATGATGTAATTTAGGCTGTACAAACACCTAAATATTTTATTGCACAGGAAAATTCAAAATACCACATCTCGTAATATACTTTTCATACATCTACTGTTATACAATAATACACTTATATACACCTTCCAATACACTTAAGTAATAATACAACTGATCATACGCTTCTCATACAATATTTATACATTATACACGAACATAGAGCCCCCCTAATAAAACACACACACACACACACACACACACACACACACACACACACACACACACACACACACACACACACACACACACACACACACACACACACTTGCTACGAGTAATATAAAAGTTCCTATCAAGTTAACAATATGACTAAAGGTAGTGGTAGCTATGACAACAATAATCATTAGGGGGAACTAACTAAAATAGAACTACTCAGTATAAAGCTGTCGCAGGTGACTGAGTAGGAGGAGGAGGAGGAGAAGAAGAGGAGGAGTTGGAGTAAGAAAGGAAGGAAAAACAAAGGAGGAAGAGGAGGGAGAAAGGAGTGAAGTAAATGGGGTAGAGAAGAAGACACGGGGGAAATAGTACAGTAGGAGGAGAATGAGGGAGAAGGAGAGAATCAGAAGAGGGGGGGAAAGAAGAGGGAGCAGGAAGATTGGTCAGAGGGAGAGAAAAATAAGAAAAGGTGAAGAAGAGTAACAGAATAAGAAGATGGTAGGTGAGGGAGGAAGAAGTGAGAGGGAAAGAGAGGAGAGCGAGAGTAAAAGAGAGAGAGAGAGAGAGAGAGAGAGAGAGAGAGAGAGAGAGAGAGGAAGGGAAGGGGTATGGTGGCGAGAGGAAACGTTCACAGGGGGGGGGAGAGAAAGAGAGAGAGAGAGAGAGAGAGAGAGAGAGAGAGAGAGAGAGAGAGAGAGAGAGAGAGAGAGAGAGAGAGAGAGAGAGAGAGAGATAGGGAGGAGGAAAATCTCTCATTATCTCACATCTTAACAATAAAAGCTAATAACAGTAATTACCAACGTTATGCCAATTTACTCGACCCAAAGATAAACAAATATAATAATTACTAATCATTAATCTCCACGTTAAACAAGACACACACCAAAAAAATTATATTATTCAAAAGAGTAATTAAGTTTAGTTGAATATAACGATTTAAAGTATAATGATGAGTACTATTGAGTTCTATAAGACTTCGGTGTACTAGGAGGCAACTGTGCTCAAATACTTTCACTATTGGGGGGGATTAGGAATATTCCCCTTCCCTCCCTACCCCTTCCCCGAGATCGAACCAGTGTCCCTTAGGTCGTGAGGTGAACGTTGTATCCACTCGACCAACGTTAATTAAATAGAAACTTTCACGGTAATTTAAATGACAGGGACAAGACCTCGAGTTAACTTGTTAGTGCAGCAGGAAAGTCACAGCTATACCCTACTGTCACACGATAACATACAGGTCAGTGTAGCAATGGAAACTTGAAGGTTAATGGAGGTAGTAGAGTCTTTTAAAACGTGTTCTAACTATTTAGAGTGACGAGAAGGATGTATGTATGTATGTATGTATGTATGTATGTATGTATGTAAACAACAACAACAACAACAACCACCACCACCACCACCACAATCACAACTACCACCACCACAACAAAAACAACTACCACCACAACAACCACCACAACACACAACAACCACCACCACCACCACCACCACAACAACCACCACCACCACCACCACCACAACAACCACCACCACCATAAAACGTGATTCTTATGACTTCACATCAATACCATCTTTAGTCTTTTCTTCGCCAGACGTGAAGGCAAGGTAAGAATTCTCATCCACTAACCTAACCTAACACATTCTTGGAAAACAGACGCATTTGAGTTGGGTAAAGTGTTGCCGCTACAGTGTGTTGACGTGGGTAATACCTAACATTGTTGACGGGAGATAATGTTGATAAAGACAGGCACACATTGATAAGGACAGCAAAAAAAATATGTTTACCTCCAATGGTTTAATCTCTATCAATCTTAAAGCGTTTTCCACTAAATGAACGGTACGTGTTGACTACTGGTTCACTGGTTGGGGGGTTATAAGGAGTCAGTTTTAGGTGATTCGAGTTTCCTTACTAACAAACGGACAGCCACATATCAATGACTCGTTCTTTGTAAGGCGTTTGCACAGTTTTCCAATAATGTGAACACTGTATGTATGTATGTATGTATGTATGTATGTATGTATGTATGTATGTATGTATGTATGTATGTAGTGTCCACGAGCAAGAACACCGTCAACTTGGTTACATAAGTTTCTAATTGATGATTACGACAAGACCTTTGACGCAATTCCCATCCACTTAACCTAACCTAACCTAACTTACACGAGCGCTTTGGGGTCATATTTCACCAATACCTAGTTGCCAATACCATACATAACCTCAATATCCAGTGCTATCGTGTTGTCCGTGTTATATTATTAGTGTACTGTGTCAGCGCTGTTGTCGGCATCTTGTCAGCAGTAGTTTTTTCACCACACGTGTGACCTGAAGCAACGGAGCTGGACATCGACGCTGACATCAACCATCTAGATAGCGAGTAAACAGAAGAAACATAACAAGACAAACAATAGTGAAAGATACCTAATGAATAATAAATAACTGACATACATTCACCAGCCGATAAAAACTCATCAATAACAATGTTTACAGACCAAAACAAAACATAACACCATCAACTACCATTACAATAAACACAATTTGAAACTATGATCATTACAATAGACTAAACTACGTTATTATATAAACTATAATCATATATTTACTTCAATTTCACCTCAAATATATTAACTCACTCAAGACAACACAAATATTATTTTTATTTCGTATTTCTCAGAGAAGTGTGTGTGTGTGTGTGTGTGTGTGTGTGTGTGTGTGTGTGTGTGTGTGTGTGCGTGCGTGTGCGTGTGTGTGTGTGTGTGTGTGTGTGTGTGTGTGTGTGTGTGTGTGTGTGTGTTGTGTGTGTGTGTGTGCGTGTGTGTGTGTGGTAATACGCCTCCCTAATTTACTCTTCAACAGGTAATACAACCCCCCTCCCCCCCTCCCTATTGAGTAGTAAGAATAGTTCACCTTCCCATTAATTAACACAGGTATTAATGTTATGTATTACTGTTTAAATCAATAATTCTCGCTCTGCCTTTTTTGTCACGCTAAAAGAAACTTCAATAGTTTTCCCCCTACAAATTCTGTTAATATTTTACACCTTATAAACGTATTCGAGTTACACTCCTTGTAATGGCGTGAACTCTCTCTGTTTTCATACTTAATGCACACACACACACACACACACACACACCACCTGAGATCCCTTGTCCGAGAATTGCTGTTCGACACCACAACCGCATCCAGCCCATACGTGCACGAACTGATCGCTATAAGAACAGCCCAGTCCCAACCATTGTAAAAATTATCAATAACTTGTAATAAATCAGTGTATTCACTCCCAGTAAACACTGCTCCTTACACTGTCACTATGTTGAAATGAACTGTAGTTTGAGCTTTTCCACATCTAGTTATTATATGTCTTATTTGTGTCACTTATGTTACTTGTATATTATTTGTAATTCGTAACCCATTCCCCAAATATGTAACTGTATATTTTCAGCCTTCTGGCTGCCAAGCTCTTTCAATAAACCGTTAATTATTATTATTATTATTATTACACTCTCTCTCTCTCTCTCTCTCTCTCTCTCGTACACATAACTCTTGCATTTCTACCCTTTAGCACACACACACTGTAGTGAGGGTGTGGTGGAGTGTGAATACAACTAAGCGAAAGTAAAACGAACTACATGACCACTGTAGCGAGACAGACGTACCTAACCTAAACCTCAACCTCTAAATACTATACCAATAGCCCAGTGAAGCTTTGGCCAACTACTGCAGAGAGGTCGAGAACGTGACCTCCTCAAGACACAGTAAGAGTCACGTCCACCACCATACACCACAGGATATGAACTTACCACAGGATAACCATTGAAACACATCCTATGCCTCATTCCTTACTCAGTACATCACCATACTTCTAAAGATATACAAAAAATTTTCCAATAACGCACAGATCTAGACAGACACCACTCATCTCTTATTCAGTACATCACCATACCTCTAAAAAAATACTAATAATGTTCCAATATTACACAGAACTGGACACACACACATCACAGGATAATCACAGAAACACACCCTATGCCTCCTTCCCTACTCGGTACATCACCATACTCTTAAAAATCTACAAACAATGTTCCAATAACGCACAGATCTACACACACACTATCCCTTGATTACCACTGACAACTTTTAATCCCTTCTGTGTGTCAATTGTTTTCACTGAATGAGATTGAATGGATTAACACCAGACAAAAAGGATGATTGCTGGACGTAGGAACTGTGAAATAAATTCGTTCTTGGGAATAAAAATACAGACTGTGTTATACAAGTTATTGGGGGTAAAGTTGTTTAACATGGAGTGAAGAATCAATCAAGTCCTTCATCTTCCTTACATCCGAGAGAGAGAGAGAGAGAGAGAGAGAGAGAGAGATCACCCTCTAGGGGCTGACAGGTCTCACGTTTTATAGGACATATACTTGGAAATATCACCAGCTGGGCTAGAACACGTCATTTGGTCTCTGTCTCACTCACTGACGCAAGAGAATAGAAGAAAAGTATGTTTGTATTTACCCCTCTCTCTCTCTCTCTCTCTCTCTCTCTCTCTCTCTCTCTCTCTCTCCATACCTAACGCCCGTGAACGACTCAA